GGTGGACTGGATCACCTGTGGACAGGTGGACTGGATCACCTTATGGAAAGGTGGACAAGAACACCTCTGGACAAGTGAACTAGATTACCTGTGGACAGGAGGACCAGAACACCTGTGGACAGGTGGACTGGATCACCTGTGGACAGGTGGACAAGAACTCCTATGGACAGATGGATGAGAACACCTGTGGACAGGTGGATTGGATCACCATTAAAATGTTTGTAAGTGGCCTGGATGTGTGGAACACGTATATTTGTGTTCTGTTGATCCAAACCCCGTCTGTGTTTTCAGACACTACATGGATGTTTTAGTTGAGTGCAGATTCTGAAAGTGGTACACAGGTAACTCAGTCCTGGTCACCTCTACCTGCAGAAACGGTGCATTCAGGTGCTCACAGAAAGCAGGAGGGTACAGAGGTCTGTTGCAGACCAGTCGCGCTCACACACGCAGGTCACTGTTATGTTCCTGATGGTGAGATGTAGGACGGCTCAAAGCTCCAAATGCCTTCCTCCACGTCACACAAAGCTGTTCTGTCCCACTTTCTCCTTTCTGATCAAACAAGAGGGGACGAGCTTCTCTTGGGTCTTTCCAGTTTTTCTCTTCTCTGGCACCAAACCTAATTATAAATAACCTTCTTCAGGAGAGCTGGTGGTATCCTAATGATATGTTAATTGCTCATGAATGTGCACGGTACGAACACTCAGCTGTGGAGCTGCTGGTGTCAAACAGGAAGTGTGAGAGTGGTGTTAGAAGGACACAACTGAGATCGGCCTTCTTCCTCACATCTGTTCTGCTCTGCATCAGAAAGGCCTAAAAAACAAACAGGGGCAACAGACTTTAACTACAAAATAATAAAATCAGTGAAGGAAATCCTAATGCTGCCCACCTCTGAACAGCAAAGGTAGGTGACGATGTTACTGATCTCATCTGTCTTTGTCTTCTCTGTAAATCTTTGTAAAATCTCTGTAAATCTTTGGAACAGAGTCTTGGAGGCTCAATTGGACCATCCTGTATAAATACAAATTGAATGAATCTCAAGAACCAATAGATTTTATTTTTGAAACTTGAAGAAATGAAAGTCAACTCTTTTACTTTTAGTAAAATATCTGAATAATCCCTGGCTGGATTAATAAAACTTGCAGGAAATAATGATTAGATGTAAATCTACAAAAAATAGATGGCCGCGCTCAGCCGAGCCACTGCTTCACAGACTCCCGGTAAATTTGATCTTTTATGTTCCTGTTGCTTTTGTTTTAACTTTTTTTGCACCTACATTGCACATCCACAGCACTGGTATGACCTCCACACACTTATGGAGTTTTCTGTGTCGCTGCCTTGCCATCGTGCCATTGTGGTTCAGTCCTTCCAGCTTCTGGCTCAGGCCTGTCATGGCTGCTGTCTCCATGATCCCCCATCTGCCTGCACGGACCGAACTCTACGGACCCGTTCGGTTCCGTAGAGAAACCTTGGATGTTCTCCGTCTGCTGGACCCGGTTCTGGAGGGCAGTCTGGGAGGGTAGCTACTGCAGTCATTATTACCATCAAGCTGCTGACAGAATTGGATTGTAGCTGAAAATCATTGCAGCATACACTCCAAGTGCTACTCAGTGCACAAGATGTTTGCTTTAAATTTCTATTTGTTGGAGTTAAACCGGAAGCAAAATATCTACATCATTTACAATAGTCAACAAAAACTGGCCATAAATCAGACAATTTTACAAATACTGATCTAACATTAGAGTCAGTCAAAACACATATTCTGTGCTACATCTGGTAATATTCTGTAGACAGACTTATAGACAGATGGATGAACTGACAGGTACTTAATGAATCCCAACAGGAAACTCAAGGGTCAAATTATCATTTACAAAAATATTCATGCTCGGTTTCATCATACAGAACAACATACAAAAACAAGCATCAATGTCCCCCTGAATATGCATATTTAGGGTGGCTATGGCTGAGTGGTTAGAGCAGTCGTCTTCCAATGCAGGAGTTGGAGGATCGAATCCACGGCAAGACACTGATCGTTGCCTTCGATGTGTGTCCCATCGGTGTATGAATGTGATCTAAAGCTCT